GCTTTTTTGATTTCTTCAAAAATTTTTAATTTCACTAATTAGAAAAAGATTCAACCAAAAAAACGCAATACTTTCTCAAAAAAGTATCTAATAAAACCTGAAATTGTTTAAAAACTTTCAATATTAAGTTTTTTATAAATATTTTTTGTCTAATATTGAGCAAAATTATATCTATAAACCATAACAAAACAATTATCAAAAAACCATCGAATACAACTTGTAATTTTTTTCTAATTGCCTACGCACAGAATTTGAAAATTAAGGGTTCTAGTGGTCGCCTACTTTTGCTAAAATAAATTGTGTTGCTTTTATCAGTGCGGATAGTTTTTATTCGCTGAGTAAGTCGAAATAAATTTTCAGTATGTAAATGATGGACAGATGGATAGCTAAACTCATTGGCTACTGTTTCTGTTTTTATAAAATACGTGCCTGGGATTTTGATAACATGGACTTTTGTTAATTGGTGAAAACTGGAGTGCATCATTTTCGCATGAACACTTCTAGTCAGTAGAACTGGTTGCAATTGACGTGCCTTTTGGGTTCATTTTTATAGAATTTTTTACCTTGTGTAGACCGGAGTTTTTGTTATATGATAAATGTTTATATTTTCAATGATATACTCAAAGTAATAACTGTAATGAAAAGGTAATGGAGAATGTGCCTAGTTGATATCTAACACCTTGTGCGGATGTGGAGAGCTGTACTTTGGCTTTAATAACAAAACTTTCTTCGATTGAAATTTTTCCGGCTTCAAAGTGCCTCATCCGGGAGTATTCCACTATATTTGCCACAATTAAATTGAATATCTCCTTTTTCGGAGCCCAAATTAATCGTTTCATCGTGTAATTTTTCCAAATAGTCCACATAGCAGTTCGTGTTGCTTCGATTCAGACATATTCAGAATTTCCAACGGTTTTCAAAAAATTCTTCCAAATGGATAACAGCTAGAAATTCATCAATAATATTAGCTTTCAATTAAATACTGTTCTACTTTTTATGAGCCCCTTTTTAAGGTAGAAAAACTCTCAATTCGTTTCAGAACATCATTTTCTGGTTTAATGATCTATTTTGAATTGCGCAAGTCTTAATTTTCCAAGCACAAACTTAAGCAAGAAGAAAGATCGAACTGTGTTCTTGCTCTTCACGTTCTTTCTTCAAGCCATACATGCATACAGCTACCAAAAAAAAAGTTTTTTGTAATAAAAATATTATTAGAATAGTTAGTATGGTTATCAAAAATTGTAAAGAAAAACAACCTTGCCGTTATTATAACTTTTTAAAAGTCTACTTTTGGCATCTAGAAAAACTCATAAGGGCTTGGGTTATATTTTTTTTGATAGTAATTTTTTTTCCTCTCCCGGTAGCGCATTATGAGGTGTTGGAGTTGCGGTTTTTCAAGGTGGTTTTTATCATTTTAACGAAAGTACTTGGTCATTGCCTTAGTTATTTTTTATTATTGATTTTATTAAAAAACATTAAAATTTCTCTTTTTTTCTACTTTTTGCAGTGTAATTTTGTTTTGTTCTCCCCAGGGGCTGAGGGTGAATGGGGTTTCAATAGCGCACTCCTTCAGGAACTCGACGCCGCTGTCACCCCCTTTGAACTATTATGGCATTCATTTTTGCCCGACGAGTTCCAAAATATTTCTTTGGTTGTCATAAGATCAGAAAAAACCCAACACTGCATTTTGTACTCAAATATTCTGAAAAAGTTTTAGTACCACAAAAGTCACAAAAAATCCACAAAAATTTCTTCATATGTTTGACCATTGTGACATCAAATTTGAGAAGAAATTTGAAAAAGTAAAAACTAGTTATAATTTCTCAAACGTCGTGAAACATTTTATAAAGGTATTTTGACCGGTGGAAGGGGCACTACAAAGTGGAGCTGGAGTTGACAAAATTCAAGTTTGATAGTAACGTAGCCTTACTAAAACAACTGGTTTTCAATAGAAGTCGAAATGGTTGGTGGCATTGAAAAGCCAATCTGAGAGCACTATAAAACCAAAATTTTCAGAGCAATTTATCTTGTATCTAAACTCTTTTTCCAATGTTTTTAAGCGATGAGAATAATGGTGGCTAAAAATTGCTGCTGTATAATTCATCAACCGACCCCGGACAAAAAATATTCCGTGGTTTTTTGAATCATCTTGTGGTCAAATTATATATTCTGTAGACGCACAAAGTTAAATTTGTATGACTGCGGATTCCAGAAACAAGCTTTCAGTAATTTAAAAACGGCGCCGATATTTATAGAAATTATTTTAAAAAAATTTTACCAGAACAAGCTGGATTTTTTTAAGAATGAAAATCATTGCAAATCCGCAAGAAGTACAAAAAATTTCAATAACTTAGGCTTTGTGAAAAAAAAACAATTGAAAAAAAGATTCAAATTCAGAAAACGTTATAATAAAAATTTCGCAAACTATTTTTGTAAGTATCCTTCGATCGGCGGAGGGAAGGTGCAAAATTAATTCGGGTTTTCAAAATTGGGTTTGATACTAAAAATTTTTTCATAATAAAATAGCTGGGTTTTTGTATTTAATTAAAATCAAAATAATTGAAGGGAGGAAAATTGCTATTTGAGAAACCAAACTTCAAAAATGTACAAAAAGTTTAAGACTTTTTTTCTGCAATGAATTCCTCAAATATTCTGTAATTTTTTTAAGCATTTGAGAAATGTTGTACCAGAAAAAATTTCAAGATATTCTCAAATTGACAGCCATTGTAGTTTGGCAGGAAAAGCAAAAAATTTTGATCATGTTGAGCATTGTGAGTTATGCACGAGGCACTGTACTCATAGAGTAATTTCAGGTAAAGTACACCGTCTGTTCGTCACGCTATGTTATTTTCGGCCGAATAGATTCGTGCAACTTCTTAGTCTAATACCAATCTTAATCTTACCCTTATATATCCTAGTCTCAATAGATCTAGTGTATACTGGTTTTTACGATTTAGTTCTTGGAGTTTATCCAGAAGGAGATCAACTGTAGTCTAAGATTTATTCTAATTGTACTGGTGCTGAAACTGCAAGTAGTTTCAGCACTTACAAATAAGTGTCATTGTTAGTGATAGATTATGATTGGTTAGTTAAAACTAGTTTAGAACTGGTTCCAATTGGACAAAAAAGCTGAAAAACAAAAAAGAAGCATAATCAGAAGCTTTTTTTTCTGAGAAAATCTTCCAGAGTTTGATTAAACTAGTTTTCAGTTATGGTTTAGCTGGTTGATGGTAAAAAAACGCCATTCTGAGACCAGTCTGCAAAAAACTGCAGCCAATCTTTTTCATATTTTTTTTTTCGTCAATGTAGAGTGAGTCACGACAAAAATGGCGGTATTACAATTTAATGCTCGACCCCGGACGATACATGTTTTCGGGTATCTGATTTACTCATGAAGCTAAACTCCATTTTTAAAGGTTTACAAAATTGTATGCATGTATTTATGTGAGTGGAATTATGTAGAAAATTTTCAAATGGTTTCAAATTAGCACCCGAAGTCATGGAATAAAATTTGACAGATTACCAGAACAATAGCCAAAGATCATTTTGTATTAGAAGTTTTAACAATTTTGCAAGCTGCACGAAGTATTTTGAACGCTGTCAGAATTCTGAAATAAGGTTGCGAAAAATTTAAAAGCAAAATGCAACTTTTTTTTCTTCAAAAATTAAGTGTTTTTTCCCAATTGCTAGAAGAGGGCTGCAAAATTGAATTCGAGTTTTATCGATAAATAACTTCAATAGAAGTGTTACTTCTGTGAACGTTCAGTTTCAGTCAAAATGGTTGATGGTAGGAGATGACAATCTGAGAACAGTCTGAAAAAACTGTGCACTTCCAAATTTTTTGAAAGTTTTCCATTGCATCGTAAGTCATTATGACGCTATACTTGACCCGGAGGACGGTTTCTCCTGCTTCTCCTAACATCGTTACGAGGCCAAACTGTTTTTTCTCTTCGCGCATAGACTTGTGTGTTTTTCCGCGGACAAGACTTTAAACATGTTAAAAATGACACCACGGAGTTTCGGTCGCACAAAGTCGCAACATACCCATTTTGAGTCTTAATGGTCGCACGCAACCAGAGGCGGATCTAGGATTTTCTTGAGGGGGCGGACCGAAAGTTTTGTCGACCTTTTTTTGTTAGGTCGACCAAAGTGAATTTCCCAGCTCTCACAAAGCACTAAAAAGACCCTGTTTTGGTAAAATTTTCTGCATCGCAGGCAAAAAATTTGGCCAAAAAAGGCGGTTTCAGGCATTTTTTGGAAAATTTTGACCAAAAAAACGCGTTTTTTGGCGCGCGCTCCCCCTCAAAATTAGTATATATTGGCGCCAAAGGCGCCTTTAGAAATTTTTTGGGGTACGTCACCAATTATGGATATCTCAAAAGAGGGGGCCCTCCCGTTTGTTCGCCCTCTGCCCCCCCCCCCCTCATCCGCCCCTGGTTGCAACATACACATGTTGACTCGCATTGGTCGCAACATAAGTCTCCGACCTCGGCCCGGGCAGCATACCAATTTTTTTTTGTTTCGAAAATATTTTTCAAAATTGTTTTTTAAAATTGTATTCGACGAGACGAGTATTTCAAAATTGCTATTGAAAGGTGAAAGGGGTTGAATGGAAACCCCTCCCCCCTCCGTCCCCCACTTTTTTATATTGCTGTAACCAGTTGTTTTACAAAGTTGACCATGAAAACTAAATCGATTTAGATTACAATCATCGATCATTAGACAAGACAGTTCACTAAATTTTTAACTTGATACAAGGGAAAGGCGAATAAACGTTATACCAGTACGAAAGTATAGGGAGAGAGAGAGAGGGAGGGGGAGCAGACCAAACATGTTTGGAATAGCCTTATAACTATTCCGTATGCCCATTTTTTAAAAATAATAAACGGACAATACGAGCCATAGTTTTACAAAAAAAAATACTCAGGGAGAGGGGATAAAAAAACGGTCACATGTTATCCATGATATCAAAAATTGGAAAAAAGGATACAAATTTTTTATCTTCTCAGTGTATTGTCCCAGGCCATTACTGATATGATAGCACGTGCTTTAAAACAAAATACGTTCCCATTTAGCTTCAACGAAACGGTTATAAGAAACACAGGAGCTATAACGTTCAATAAGAGCGAAGACAGAAGCTTCTTAAATCCTTGATTTAGAAAAAAAAAACATTCAGAATATCGACTCAAAAAATTTTAACATATGACTGCTCCCAAAAAAATTCTTCGAATGGTGTGATTACAATTGTTCGCTTTTTAACACTTCATCCTCAATCGCTATTGCCAATATTTAATTTATTAGTTTAATTTGATCTTACTTTTCTAACTCTCTTGAATTCAATTTTTATAGTCAACCGATTTCTTGTTTCAAATCGGTTTATTTTGAACAAACCTTTAAAAAGGTTTTTATTGATCCAACGTTAAAATCGGATTTTTGTTTAACCACTCTTAGAACCGGTTAACTAAGTTAGTAATAAATAACTTATAAGCAATATAACAACAATGCCCGCGGGTGCAGGAGGTGGTGGGATGGGCAGACACGAGGAGGAGGAGTCGGCCACTTTGGTCACGCAGGAGCAGCCGAAGAGTAGTTGTACTACTTACTTGGCAGAGGGCGACAGACTCTACAGAGTGCAGGAGTACAAGAAGGCCATAGAGTCATACACTGCTGTGAGTCATACATTTTCAAAAGGGGTTGAAGGGAAAGAAGAGTTCGAAATTCGTACTTCTTCGAAAAGAGTTCGAAAACCATTTTTAATGCTTCTTTTCCTTCAAATTTAATCATTTAGGTTTTTTCTTCAGTACTGTTAGCGGTCGTTCTCTTAAACCTTAACAGTTTTCTTTCATGTGATGCCCATTAAATTAAATTGACAATTGCAGAGCTTTTTTTATCTGAAGAAGGAAAAAATATCCAAGGAGATTTTTGTGAGACCATGAGGCTTATTTCTTATTCAGTAAAGCTTGACTAATTCTGACTTGTTTGTTGAAGTCTTAGCGAAATTTAAATGAAGTTTAAATGTTGTCTCATTTTTAAAACGGGTTCTGACTTCTATGGAATTGGGTCCTAATAGTATTTGCTTCCAGGCCCTGGAACGCGCGGAGGCTGAAGGTATGGACAAGAGACTCTGTTATTACTCCAGAGCACTCTGTAAACTCTACCTGGGTGACTCAGATGCCGCTCTGGAGGACGCAGAAGAGGCTCTCGACGATGACCCCTCCTACTCAAAGGTCAACACAGTTCAAGCATTCACAGCATTCACTTCACAATAAATACATTGTATCAAGGAGAAGATTTAAGTGATGCGTCTAAACAAGATTTGACCGCTTAAAAAATATTTCAGACTCCAAGTTTTTTCTACAATATTTTTTCTTTAATATTGAGGGATCTCATGTGAATCAATTTTCTACAACGCATCAAAAGAAACAGATTTAATTTGGCTTGTCTCTCGAAACTGTTTATTATCGACGTAAATTTTGTAAAGCTTGCTTTTTGCTGCTCTAGTCAAGACCAATGACGTCAATTTTAATAGTATCCGACAAAAAAAAATGAAATTTTAAGGTCGGTTTTTTGTTAAATCAGTCACATATAGTCGGCTCAATATAACGCACATTCTTTCAATTGCACATTTTAGGGTTACATAGCAGTATTTAGAAAACCGCGTTTTCAGACTCGTCAGTATTTAGACAAATAGTGTTTCAACCAATCAGAATCGAGACAAAGAAGAAATTAATAAATAACTATTATTTATTTTGGATTATTTATGTCTTTTCTCGATTCTGATTGGTTCATACAGTATTTGTCTAAATACTGACGTGTCTGAATACGCGGTTATCTAAATACAGGCTGCACTCCACATTTTAGGGACTGTGGATCAAAGCAGAGGCACTCTACGCAATGGGTAACTTCGAGTACGCCCTGATGTTCTTCCATCGTGGCTGTCACTTGAGAGCGGACAACGGAGAGTTCCAGATAGGGATCCAGAAGTCACAGGAGGCCATAGAAAATGCAATTGGAGAGAGTGAGTGGCTATAGTTTATCTGAATAGGAGCACATACCGGGTTTTCTCTTGGTCGGTATTTCGCAAAAAATCCAAAATCAACCAAATCTGTTTCTGGAATTTTCAGAAATCAACATCAACTAATTTTGTCGCCAATTTTTCTTGCGCCAACTGCAGCTTTTGAGATAAGCAAAGTGCGTAAAACCCAATTTTTGCCTTTTATATATACTTTTTTTCGTTCTTTTCTTGATTTTTGCATACTTTTTTTCGTTCTTTTCTTGATTTTTGCATACTTTTTTTCGTTCTTTCTTGATTTTTGCATACTTTTTTTCGCTCTTTTCTTGATTTTTGCATACTTTTTTTCGTTCTTTTCTTGATTTTTGCATACTTTTTTTCGTTCTTTTCTTGGTTTTTGCTGCTGATATAAGTCCGATAAGCCACTTTTCGAAGAACATATAGTACCCTCATAGCAGTATCTTCTCATAGAATAGTTTTTGTTTCAAATTGAAGGTCAACATAACAAAATAGATATTGAAAGCGGTTACAATGTTTGGAATCATGGTTGGGTACGGGGTAGCGAGTTCATGAGGGGAATAGTCAACTTCACGCTCAAAATGTTGCCCAAATTTGTTTTTAGAAGCGAAGGGTGTGGAGTTGAGTACGGACTGTGACCTAACTTGCTTCTACAAATTCGACCCGGTAAGTAGTAGCAGTTGGGGAGTCTTTTCCTGCCATTATAGAGGTTTTGTCGCTTTTTTATAATTTAATTTGGACTTTTTCAGCTTCATCAAAATGTTTTTCTTCTAAGTTTTTATTTACCAAAGTTAAACAACATGCTTCGCAAGTTTTTAGGCCACATCTAATGATACAGGTCCTTTTCAATTCTATGATTTAACTATGGTATGTTAAATCATAGATGATTTCAATTCTATGATTTAACTATGATTTAACAATTCTATGATTTAACTATGATTTTCTATGATAATTACGCATTTCAGGTGAAGAAACGTGATAAGAAGCACAAACCAGGCACCGGTCGCATCCAGTCACGCGGACCCCTGCATAGCAAGAAGGCAGAAGATGCGAAGAAGAGGGCTGAGGAGCAGAGGAGAGCCAAGGGGACTAAGAGCAGCCGGAAGAGTTCGAAGAGACTGCTGGGTCAGCTGTATTCGGACAAGGAGTACCTGGAACAGCTCTTCAAAGATGGAGGTAAGGCTTGTAAGACTTGAGATGGGTCAAATTTAGATGGGTTTGTTATAGATAGAGGGAGCATTACTCAAACCGTCTAGTCATTTTGACCATATAATTTGAATTCTCAAATCTTTTAGTCGTTGGTTTTCATGTTATCAAAGCTTTTCAAAACTCGCGTTAGAAGTCGGTTAGACTTACATTTTTCCAAAGAAGTTTGAGATTTTTCTATCAGTCATAACATTTTTTCCGAGGATGCGGAAATTGTCATCTGTAACAGGCTTCGGATTGTTGGCATGAAATATGTTTTCATTGAAAAAAGACTGCCGAGTTTGACGTTTTGTTCAACGTGTTTTAGTGGTGTCGAACGACTCCACCGAGTCGGGTAAGAAGATCCGAGATTACACGAATGACGCAATCAAATACTTGGAGAAACGGGAGGAGTTCTGGCGACAGCAGGATCCCTCCCGCACCCACGACAAGACCTACGAGAGATCCAGCAGCAGCAGGAGGGGGACGGAGTCGTCGGCAGTGACAAAGAAGTCGAATCCAGGGGGCTATGTGATCAAGCAGATCGAACGAATCGAAAAAGGTAAGAAAGGTTGTTTTTTGATATCAAAAGGCATAAAAACACAGAGAAAAAATTGGTCTGATTATAATTTATACCCCAAATAAGGTTGCTTATAGTTAAAAAGAAATAAATAAATGGATACAATTACCAAATTGTTCAAAATTTTAAACGGGGTATGGAAGGGGCAGGAAACAAGATAAATAATCTGAAATAACCTGCCTAAATGACATGATGATAAACTATACAATGGTTTGGTAAAGTATTCTGCGGCTATGGACGTTTTTCAACACTCATGCATGTTTTAAGTCTCACGTTTGAATTCTATATTTACAACGAGTTTCACTTTTTTATCTTCCTCCTTAAATTAATATCTGATATTAAATTAATATCTAATTAGAATCTTCCTCCTCAAATTTGTTTGAACTAAGAATTTTTTGCGATTGGATGCCAAAAATATTTAGCATCTTTAAAAAAAATTTACAAAAAGAATGCATTTTTATTCAGACATGGACAAAAAAGACTACAAACAGGCTGAAAAACGTTGCAAAGAGACTCTGGATGAAGCCCTGATCTACACAGATGAAGAGCTGTCTAACAAGCAGGAGTTTCTGGCCACTCTCTACAACTTGTACGGGGTCTGTCTCTTCGAACAGGACAAGTTCAAAGAAGCTGAGATCCAATTTCTCAACGACTGGGATCTCTCCGAGAACAAGTGAGTATCTGCGAGGAAAACGAACTAAATTGGCGGCGGTCATTTGATACGTGGAACTTGATTTAATCCAAGTTGCAGAATAAAAGTGCCCCCTGCTAGAGGGGTGGATCTAGGATTTTATCGAGGGTCTTGTGTTTAGGGGGGTGGATTTTCAAAAAAAATTTTTTTTTAGGTGGACCATATTGATTTTTCGAGCTCTCCCAAAGCACTAAAAAGTCCTTGTTTTTGTAAAATTTTCAGCGCAGCAGGCAAAATTTTAAAAAACAGGCCAAAAAAGGCGTTTTTAGGCACTTTTTAGAAAAATTTGACCAAAAATTTGCGTTTTTTCGGCGCGCGCTGCCCCCTTAAAGTAAGTATATATTGGCGCCAAAGGCGCCTTTAGAAAATTTTTAGAGTCCGTCACCAAATATGGATATCTCAAAATAGTATAAAGGGGGGAATCAGGGGTCGGCAGGTGGTCGAATCCCTGAGGGGAAGGGAGCGTCCGCCCCCCCTAAATCCGCCCCTGCCTTGCTACACAGGTGGTGCACATGAAAGTAACAATCGTCAAATGTTTTTCTGTCAAATGTTATGGAAAATAAAAAAAACCTATATCAAGTCGTTTTGTTTTCTTCAGTAGTTTTTTGAAAATCTAAGTAACGGCTGGATCAATCACTATACAATGAGAGAAAAAGTGCTGTTTCTTTTTCAATTTGTAGATCTCGATCTTTATCAACAGCGCTGATTTAAGCGTTTTGGACAAAGTTTATTATACTTGAAATTTCAAATAAACTCTTCTCAAATTAGGTTGACTTTAGAAAAAAAACGATGCTTAGAATTTTAGCGAATTAAATATAAGTCGATTTGTTTTGCAAAATTTAGGCTAAAATTTTTACCCCATTATTGATAATGTTTAGCTTTGTTAGTCAATTAAAAATTACGCCAAAACTACGTAGCCGATCACTTATTTGATTAAATCGAAATGAGTCTCTTATTAAACCCAACAAGCTTTGGGAGGCTATATTCTCCAAAAAAAATGCGGAGAACGTTTAAAAATTGTTTTTAAATAAAAAATTGGTATTCTTCTGTATAGTAAAAACGACCTTTACTGTCTTTCAAACAAAAAAAATCACTTATACAATGTTCTGGAGATTCTACTATTTTTAACATTGTTGGAATACTTAAGAAGCTCACACTGATATGATATAGTTGTGACAGTGATCAACTAAGTAGTTTGTGCTTAATTTTTGATTGACTAAGAATGATAAGTTTGATGATCAGTTTTTGGGGTAACGTTTTGATTGCAAATTTTGCTGAACAATATTTTGCGCACCATATTTGTTCTGCCAGCATTCTAAGTAAATTTTATCATCAATTTTTTCAAAATTGAGAAAAACGCGTTTTAAGTTATAATCTTAATGCGTTTTCTCTGGACAATTTAAATCAGCACTGTATACTGGATAGAAGCATTAAAACAGAGAAGTTGCAAGTGCGAAACAGCATATGTTTTTCTGATTTGATGAGCCTGAGAATCGGTTTTTGGAACCTCTCGGCGTCCTCCCAATCTATATAATTGAATGCGAGTAAACGATATTTCTGTTAGAATCATGGTACCCTTGACTGTAAACATTTTATTTTAAGTATTATGTTTTTTATGATTACACTTGCGACTTTTAGTAAACGTTAGTGTTATACTGAAACTAGTTTTGGGGCAACTTGACAATTTTCGGTAGAATGTGTTTGGACATTCGAATACTAAAAAAATAACACAGATGATACAGTCTAAATTCAATAAAAGGAACCGAAAAAAAGCTATTTGTTTCAAACAACATAACAATAAAAATCACTCTATTTCTGAAATTTTGTAATTCGTAATTTTCTGAAATGCATAAACTATACATAATATGGCTTTATGCTTTTCAATTGATTACATGCAAATTAAAGGGGATTCTTTCAGTTTTTTATATTCCCAACTATTACTTGCAAAATTGTCTAGTTATGTTTCGTGCACTTTTGCCGCATAGAATTGGGAATTTATTTGCATATGTAGCTGCTTTATTTGTGACTGGTGTTTGCTGGCTCTTAAGCTTTCGTGGCCGAGAGGACAGGGTGCGAGACTCCAATTCTCGAGGTAGCACGTTCGCAACCCATATGTAGCAAAATTTTCATTACTTCGAGCCTTATTTCTACCTTTTCTTATTTCATTTTATAAAGCTGTTGTTTTGTCGTGTTCTGGCTAGTGTTTGATTTTTGTTGCTTAGGGTGGCTTTGTTTTTGTTGCTTAGGCTAGTAGTTGTGGTCACTAAAAACAATGTTCAAAACAAACAATTTGATACTTTGAAGTCTGCTGAATCACGACTCAAGGCTGAAAAGGTTTTCATACCTCACTCTTGGGATTTTCTATACGGTAGGTAACTGTGCATAAAAAACACAATTAAAACCTCTTTTTCGTTCTTATCGTTCCTATCTCTCGTTCTTAACGAAGCTTGCTAAAAAGAATACTTTATGTGATAGGATTCAACATGCCATATAAATGATTGTCGTGACATTTAAATGGAATTCAAAACTGTATTTGATATAATTTCTGAGGCACGTTTCCAATTTTTTTCTCAAAATTTCCAATTTTTTTGTCAAATAAAGCAGAAAAAAAACATTCCAATTTCTTGAAAAAAAAACAGGAAAAAAATGAAGTTTCGTGGCAATTTTGTGAGGTTTTAACAACGCTTGCTCCCTTTTTGATTTCAGCGCATATTAAAAATTAAGTTTTTATAAAATGATTGTTTTAAAATTAATAAATAAATTAAAATGGGTGTTGTAAAAATGCAACAAAAGAGACTCTTTGAGCAATGAGGGCATGGGTCGAATCTCTGCGCAATTTTGTGTATTTCAGAGCTAGTTAAACAACTTTTACCACATGTTCTGGTCATAACAAAAATTTTCTCTGGATGTAGAAGCGCCAGATTGTACTACGAGAAAAAAGCCGTAACCAGGAAAAAAATCTTCGAATTAATCTTTTGATTGAACCTCGTATCACCTTTTGTGGCGAGTGCAAGTGCAAGTGCAGCCGAGCGAACGTTCGCTACTTGCCAAAGCTGATTTAAAGCTAAACCTTCAATTTTGCGTTGTCTAGTTTTGCGGGTTGCTGTAGTAACTAGGCTTGAACAATTTTAATGAAAACTTTTAGTTTAATTTTCTTAAAATATACATGAAAATTAAATTAAATATATTATTTTTGATATGTTGCTTCGGTCATTTAATAATCTCGGCTATTTGTATATATAATTTCGTATAATCTGGGCCATTTTCTATGACACTTAAAACTCAATATTGCTGTCAACTCAATATACTTTTTTTTAAAACACCCTTTTGTTTGACTTCACGATTGGTACTTTTTTCGGAGATCTAAGTTTAGTTGAGCAACCTGGAAATTTTTTCTAAATAAAGAAGAAATGGGAAGGGTGGCAATTAAGCGCACGATGCTTTATTGCTGGGATGGCATTGTTACCTCATTGATTGCTCACAGTTTGGATGTGGTTGTCGATCGAATTTTGAGCAGATCATACTTCATACTTTCACTCACATAGATAAATACATGACATATTCATAGTACCCACTCGTTGAAGTTTCCGCAACCAGTAGCGTGCCGAGGGGGTGGGGGTGGGAAGGATCGACAGCTTTTCCTCTCCCCCAATTCTGGTTTCCAATTTTTCCCAAAGGTTCCACCCTTTGGTATAGTTTTACGTCATCCATTTTTGGCTGATCAACCTCAAAATTTTTGTAAAGGCGACTATGGTGCCAATATAACTAAAATTGAGGGGGAGCGCGCGCCGAAAAAATGCAATTTTTTGCTCAAAATGATCCAAAAAGTGCTTAAAAACGCCTTTTTAACCTGTTTTTTTAAAACAATTGCCTACGGCGCACCAAATTTTTGACTAAATAGGGTCCGTATAGAATTTTTGGAGAGCTCGGAAAATGAAATTGTTCGACCTAAAAAAAGGTCGGCAAAATTTGCAAAATTTTTCGAAAAACCGCCCCCTTGAAAAATTGTTTGAGCACGCCAGTGACCGCGACATAATACCCTGTCCAGACTATGGATTTTCGGTCGCGGAACTAACATCAGCGCGACCGACAAAGTCGAAAAAGTCGACCCGGGTCATTTAACTGGATTTGACTACTGCTATTGTTGATTTCGTGCAATCAAGTTTCTGTTAAACATCGTATTTGGTTTTTGCATTAAATTGATCTTTTGCTTAGATATCAAGTTTCGAAGGCTTTGTAGAAGCGATCTGCTTCAATGTAGTAAGAATTTGTAATTTGGTTACATAGTGCTATGCCTCATGAGAGTTTGTGATGAACCTTCCCAAATTTAACGGTCCTTTTTTGAGCAAACACGAAATAGGTTCGCACCAATTAATTAACTTCCAATAACGGCCAATATAAAACATTCAAGAGTCAGATCAATTTTTTAAAAGTTTTTTTTAAAAGGTTTCCTTTTTTGTTGTTGGTTTCATGTACTTATGTAAATGCATTTTAATTTGAAGAAAAAACTTGATTTAAACAAGAGCATGCGTAATCAGCGAGTAAATCATGATTTTTATCAGCGAATAAAGAATGAATATAAAATGCATGAAATAATATGTTCAGCGACAACCAAGACGGGCGCAGCCGGGCACTGGACAGTCTGGGAAGGGTGAGTATGAAGCTGGGCAAACACGAGGCAGCCTTGGGCTACTGGAACCGCAAGCTGCACACGATGGATTCCAAGGACGAGATAGAGGCACACATTCACGATGAAGATGAGACACTGGAACGAATCTGGCTCTACCACGAAATAGGTTTAAAAAGATTTAAAATTTGAAATTTTTTAAAATTTGGAAATCATAAAATTGAAAACTATTTATTTTCGTGTTTTCTTAAAGAAATACACAATGATTTGACAACCGCAAAAAGCTTACGTTGATATGACCGCCTTGATTATTCCTTGACTTAAGTAACCCAATCCCGAATGTGGGGAACCAATTGAAACGAGCTTTTTTAGACAGGGTTATTGATTTTTGGGATCTGCAAATTATTGTGATTTATGATAATTCTTATGACTATGATTATCTGATTAGTATAGCTTTTAGTTATGTTTTACTGATCAAAATAAAAAATAAAACTGTTCGGTTTTCAGCCAAATGTCACTTGGAGATGAAGAAGTATGAAGAGGCTAAAGACTTCGGACAGAAGGCACTGGAGTTCGCGAATGAGAGCAAAGACGAAGCATGGCAACTCAACGCCACTATCATCATCGCAAAAGCCGAGAGTGAGTGAATGAGAAAGTTATGGGCCATTTGTAAAGCCATTTTACATCCAAGGGGCGTATATAAGATTTTCTCGAGGGGGAACATTATGAACGAAAAACACTTTTTTTCTAAGTCGAATAAAAAACTTTCTTCAGTTTTTCTAAAAAGAACAAATAATTTTTCCAAAAAGACTCAATTTGGACTCAATTTGGAGGGTTTTGGTCAAAATAAATTAGGTTTTTCGGCCTGCTTTAGTCTTCAAACAAAGTGAAAATTGGCGCCAAAAGAGCCCTCATCAACTTTTTAAGCTTGGACGGATATGGTGTCGAATTTCTAGGAGATCAGAGGAGGTTGTTCATCTTAAATCGACCGCTAGTAACATCCACATTTTCGTTGAGATGATCTTAGTTCGAGGTCGGCTCGATGCTTTTGAGTTTGAAGCAACAGATCCTAGATAACTTCAATTTAAATCGCTATGGCATTCAAAATTTTATGGCGAAAAGAACGATGATCACGATTTATTATGATCAGGGTCGTTGGAAACATTAGTACAAGCATTATATTAGGGTACATGATTCAGTTGAGCCTTAGTGGTTTCCGAGAGTTTTTAATTTGCACAAACACAATTTGGAAGAAAACAAAAAAGATAGAATTGGTTTTTGATAACTGTTATGTTTTTTAACTTTTTCATAAGGGCGCCGTATGTGTTGGTACAATTTGAGGCGGAACTAGCATAAGTTTACCCACTATATGAAGAGTATGCGGAAAAGAAATGGTAATTGTTCCGATCTTTGAAAATGAGGAGAACTTTGTATTCGGGTGTTTTTCAGTTTTTTATAGTTTTTCACGTAAAATCAGGCACCACGAAAAATCATCGAATTGAATTGAGTACTATATCATGTTTGAGTGACTCATATTTGAGTGAGCACTATATCAAGCCCTTTGAGTGAGTCATGTTTCGGAAGACCTTAAAAAATTGTCAAACTTTTTTCCCAGTGTCTAGAAAAGCATGAATAAATTTTTGATTTTTGTCGAATTTCGAGCTAGTAGCAACGTGAATTCGAATTTCAATTAAATTTGCCAGTTTGAGTTATGTCCTATTTGGATATACTCATAGAATAATTTCAAATAAGGTACACCGTCTGCTCGTCACGCTATCTTATTTTCAGCCGGATAGATTTGTGCAACTTCTTAGTCTAATACCGATCTTAATCTTACTCTTATATCTCCTAGTCTCAATAGATCTGTGTATACTGGTTTATGCGAGTTAGTTTCCAGAAGGAGAAAAACTGTATTTTAAGTTTAATTCAAACTGCTCTGGTGCTGAAACTACAAGTAGTTTCAGCACTTACAAATAAGTGTAAATGTTAGATATTGTATATGATTGGTTAGCTAGGAATATTTTATAGAATTAAAGAATTATATTTATAACCAATTATAGATTCTAGTTTAGAACTGGTTCCACCCATCCGGGGCATAGAGAGTTTTTAGTTTTCTAGTGGTTCGATGTAGTGAAGGACGGGTGATGTAGGTTCTTTTTGAAGTTGCGAGCATTGGCTTCTTGGAGGAAGAAGAAGTGTGGCTGTTGGTGTTCGACGGCCGAAGATTGTCATGTTTGTATCTCTAGATGGGTCTCGTTGATCGTGGTAGTCTTGTGTGATTGTGTCAAGACTTCTGATCGATGCAATGATATATCGATTTCGTTAAGCTTGGAGCGAGATTACGTGCAGGATGAAGTTTGACTTTACCATGTGAAGTGCCAGGTGACTAGGAACTGTACGTAAAGTGAACATCGAGATGGCCATTGGTCTGGTTCAATGGGTTTCCTTTGTTGCGATGTTGGGTCCATACTTTAAATCCTTTGAGGGTAGTGACTTTAGGCAGCAAATCAAAAATATTTGTCATCCCGAAGTTGGAATGTGATTGGATTGTCGTCTTCTTTGCTGCTCGTCTTTTGGGCTTTACAAAATCTATAAATACTGCGTTTATTGCTTACATATTTTTTTTTCTTTGTTAATTTAGTTATAGTTATGATTTGTTATTAATGGTTATCGCAAAAGCGTTTATATTAGTTCAGTTATTTTTTTGTAAGAGTCGCTCAGCCTAGAGCAACTCTTGGCAAAAAGTGTGGGTCACAAAGCGTGATATAGCGCGGTGGGTTAGGCCGGCTATATAGCATGCTCAGGACGTCCCTCTGGTTGGCGAGGCCAGGAGTGGGGCATAATTTTGAGTCTCTTTGTGCAGAGTCTCTTTTTGTGTTCAATTTTTTGTTTTGTTTTTATCACTTGTTTTTCTCTTTTTGTTCTGGTTGTGTCCTTTTCTCACAAATCGAATCTTTTGGTTTGGTTTTGTCTTTCGAATTTTTTGTCTTTTATTCGATTGTGGTAAGACTTGAAAGTGGTCTTCAAAAGAATAATTTATCCAGTTTTAATCTGGTTTTAATCTGGTTTGGGGACCGTGGGTTTTTCTTTCTTGGTCATGCTATTAGTTTGTCGTTTGTGACGTTTGTAAATTGCGTTGGTTATTGTAGTTTACTCAATATAATTCCTTCCAACCGGGTTATTGGAAAGTTTGAAACGTGTGAAAAATGGTTAGAGTTGTTATCAGTGAAAGTTAAAACGTAAAATTCATTATTTAAACAATTCTTCGTGGGCGATCTGTGCGATTGTGGAAAGAATTTTATTAGCGAGTGAATGATTCAAATCTATAAAAAAACGTCATGTAAAAAAGTTAGTACTCTTTTTATCAGCAATTTTTGTGAGTTTACTGCATCGAAATATTATTTTAATTCTTTTGGGGAATTTAATTTTTGAATTTACTGCTTGGTAAAAAGAAATTTTTTGCATTGAGGATTATTTATTAATTTTTGAGTGCTATTTGGGGGAAAATTTTACTGCTTTTCATTTATACTGCAATTTGTTAATACGAGTCTAGAATTTCAAGAAAGGAGTTTTCAATTTTTTATTTGTTTTTTATTTGTTTTAGGTGATTGTGTGATTAGATCTAAAAAAGAAAGTGAAACATTTATAAAGAATGGTTAGTTGTGTTTTGAATTTTTTGTGTAAGATATATCATTATACTTATTTAATCATCAGCAAAAAATCCATTTGGGAAAATATCGTGAATGACATTTGATGTTGTTAAAGATTTAGCATGTAAGCTGGTGATATATTTTGTTTGCAGTAGTGACCAAAGCAAGTCAAGTGCGTTGATAATCTTGTGCTCTTGACTACTTGGTGAGAATTCATGCGGTGTGTTTTGTATTAGATTATAAAGCTCATGATTATGTTTAATGTTATAATGGTATTCTAGGATTGGGATTTCAACGGGCGGTATATATTCGTGGGGGAGAATTAGTGGACGGGATTCATCAACGTTAAAAGTTCTGGTTAGTGGGCGGAATATATACATTTGTCAGATAGGGTCGTAGTTTCTAAGGATTCCTTGCATATTAGTGTCTTTTATACAGTATGTGAAGTTTAAGAAGAATGGTGATGTGTATTTGGAGTTAATAATTTGAAATCGATACTGTAGGTTTCGTGATGGTGTAATAGTTGTGTAATGGTGTTGTATAAATTTATAGTAAGTGTATTTGTGAGTTTGTTTTGTGCGTAACATGATTTGATGTGAGCAGTGTAAGTCACGTTCTTCGGGTGTTAGAAAAATTTAGGTTAACAAAAATGGTTAAAATCACTGAAATAAGAGTCGTAGGCTTTTGTGTAGCGAAGTGCTGTGGATATAATGTGATCATAATTTTTGTTCATGCAGTTCATAGTAAATACAATTGGTGATTTGATGAAAAAACTTTCAGTTTGTTGGGGGTTAGCGTTGGTATCGTCTTTTGAAAAGTTATCTTCATTGGGTCGCGGTTTGACGGGTTGGACAGAGAGTAGTATATCAATTCGTGAGAATGGTTTTTTACTTTCTCGTGACTAAGTTCTAATTTAAGGTAGACCTATCTAATCTTACTTAGGGGTTGTGATTTGTGATCGAGGGTTGGAGAATAGTAAATCAATCCACAAAGTTCAGGTACAATTAGCACACGAGTAGATCGTTGGATACTATTTTATGACTTATTAAGTTTAAGTCTTTTAGCCTGGGTCATCTAAGAGGAAGGGCTCAAGTGAAGGATGAGAAGTTCTTCACTGTTTAGCTTAAATTAAATGGTTAAATTTTCAAAAATTTCTACAAGGCCTGGGTTGTTGATAAGGGTTGGGTGGTGAATCGACGTTTGAGGTCGTTAGACACTTTAAGAAATGTAGGAGGGAAAAACAAAATTGTTCAGTTTGATCCAAAGAAAGCCTTGATGATCAGAAAATAAAGAATTTTAATTTAGAAGAAATAAATATCCAAGCAAAGCGTTGATGATCTGTCATTTAGGTTAAGCTAATTTAAGAGAAAACAAAGATAAGCCTTGATAAGATTTGATGTGAAAGCTTAAGTGTAAAAAGTTCAAGATTAAAATTTAGATAATGTTAGTTTTGTGTAATTTGCTGTTACTTTTTAGGTGATGCAGCTGGGATAAAGAAAATATGTATATATTATTAAATACTAACAATTATTTTTTGTGTTAACTAATTCTTTTATTTTTCTTCAATAAATTGTTTTACTCAAAATGATTTGATTTACTGCAGGTTTTCTGGAGAGAACGTTTTGTGTTGTTTTTATCAGTCGTTCTTGTGTAAATAGTAGGTTCAGCACCATTTATGTTGCTGAAAGATTTCTTCAAATTTCATGTCAGTAAATAAAAATTTAAATTTAATGCGGAAAGGATTCTAAATACATAGGTTTGCTCCGGTTTCCGCCGTACTATCATGAAATGAATCGGTAGATTTTTTTCTAATCGTAGATCGTGACTTGGTTTGGGTCTTTTCGCAATACCTGGTAATTTTCGTTTTTTTTTTTTGGAAAATTGGCGGTGATCTATTGAGTCGGAGAGACACTTACTAATAAATTGTCAATTTCATCTAACATTGTTGAAATTTTGCAATTGTCTAATTCTAAAATCTATTTTTTCTAAATCTAAGTCAGTTAAGGTCTTGTTTGAGACTTTTGGTCGCACCAGATGAGTTATGTCCTATTTGGATATACTCATAGAGTAATTTCAGATAAGGTACACCGTGTGCTCGTCACGCTATCTTATTTTCGGCCGGATAGATTCGTGCAAATGCTTAGTCGAATACCGATCTTAATCTTACTCTTTTATCTCCTAGTCTCAATAGATCTAGTGTATACTGGTTTATGCGAGTTAGTTTCCAGAAGGAGAACAACTGTATTCTAAGTTTAATTCAAATTGCTCTGGTGCTGAAACTACAAGTAGTTTCAGCACTGACAAATAAGTGTAAAGGTTAGATATGGAATAGGATTGGTTAGTTAGGAATGTTTTATAGAATTAAAGAATTATATTTATAACCAATTATAGATTCTAGTTTAGACTGTTTCCAATTTGAAACATTTAGGCCAAGAAAACTTGTGTACGGAAACGAGAACTAGTCTTTTTTATTTTTTTGTGAATGTGTTCGGAAAATTTGTGCCACCTGCACAGCAACCGTCTTTCCTTGTTTTGCATGCCCAAATTTAGCATGTCGTTGTTTTATTTAGGCATTTTTCGATTTTTTTTTTCACAAAAAAAATTTGAAAAAAAATCAACAATGTGAAAGAAGTTGTTTTCTGGAGCTCAAACATAAATTAAGATTTTACAGAGAATCATTTTTCGTTGAAAAAATTACGAGCTGTTAAAAATTGTTAATTTGGTCAAATAAATATAATTTACACGCGATTCAGTGCGTTCTTATAACGCGAGCAAGCAGCAGATTAAACCGTTTTGAACTGATTTGAGGCAGTCAGCTGGTCTGATTATAATGATACAAGACGCTAAATAAATCTCTTGGTACTTTACATTTGCGTCTGGGGGAATAAAATGACGAGAAAAGAAGAAAAAAATTAAACTTTTGATTATTTCATCAATGATTCAACCAAACGTTTTTCAATTGGCCTTGATAAGCACTCAGAAGATTCACAGCTTTGCCCTGATATACGATCAGTCGCTTTGATATTTATTGATTTCTGTCTCTGGATATTGAAGTCATTACACCTTTTGAAACATAAACGATCAAAATTGAGAGGGCTGAGGAGAAAAAAAAATTTAAACACGTCTAGTCTAGTTCATGAGCAAGCAAAATTACCATTACATCTTCTACTACACTTCCCATAAGAGGGTTAATCTATCCTAGTTGCGCCTCAATTTGTAATTACACATAAATGTTGTTTTGAAAAAAAACTATGTACAAAACAATTATCAAAAAACAAGTGGATGCATTTTAATATATTTTTAAATTTTTGTTTTTAAGATATAAAAATTTCTCGGACCTTTGAGTCGTACCTTTTTAATACGACCAATTAGCTAGCCTCATTGTTCCGACTTTTGATACGAAAGTAACGGAATATTTGTGCTCGGGGTGGGTTTTTTTTTTCTTCAGACAAATTTCGACTTTTTAACTAGCCATTTTTGACGGAATTTTTTGGTATTCAAAAGGTATTGTTGTCGTGAGCTCAAATTTGAAAAGATATTTCACCTGTGATCATTTTTCGTAAAGTTATGAGGGTTTAAAGATTGCCATTTTGACCAATTTGGGACAATTAACGCGCGATATAATTCGCGCTATTAACGCGTAAGAGGAGATTTAATCCGTCTTATAAATCGTTCCAAATTGGTTGAACGAAGCTTATTTGCCATAATTGATTTGTTACAAGGAACGAAATCTCTCTTTTTGTACTTTATATGGCGTGTGGGGGGATGATTTTCATAAAAATTTTCAAATTTTAGAAAAAAAAGTTTTCATTTTATTTTATTTCATTTAATTTTTTAATGTTATTACTGCTGCTCCATAAAACTTAAAAGGCAGTCGGAACATTCAGGGTTTCGCCCTGATACGAGCAGTCTTGTTTTTATTTGGATTGATTTTGTTGAGCTGGATAATTCTCCACTCAGAAATAATTCGCGTTAAGCTCTCAGCATTATGAATAAACTCTTCAAAGTGCTGATAATTTAGTCCAGAGCCCCCAGAACTTTACAAAAAATGATCGGAGGTAAAATATCTTTTTAAATTTGAACTCAGATAGTTGATATATTCAATGGAGCATAAAACTTTTTTTTGCTGAAAACTGTTATTTTGATCGGCAAAAATTGACTGAAAAAAAATCACACCGAGCTTTTCTTCGAAAGTCGGAACCATAAATATTCAGTTTTCTTCGAAAGTCGGAACAATAAAAGATAAATAATTAGTGATACTTTTTTAAATAATCAATTTTCTTGTTATTGATCGCTGAATATGATATGGTTTCATACTGCCGTATATATCTTCCTTCCTTGTGTGAATTTTTGCTCCCAACTGCGCAGTGTGTTATTGCCTGTAAGATTTGATGTCTTGGGCTAGATGCGACGATTTTGCAGATGTCGGGGACTGAAATCTGCAACATTGACTCAAACTTTTATTGAACTGCTCCAAGAGTGTTACTTGGTTTTGGCAGGCCGTCAATTGTACAAAAATATTGTGTCGAATCTTCCCTTCCTTTTTGAATAACTTTGAATTTTCCAAAATTATCATAGAAGTACGCTTTGATGTTGTCTAGAATCTGATAAATCAGGATCACAATTGTGTACCACTGTTCTCCGTGTAATGATTTTGCAAACAAAAACTAATTGTCCTAAATTTTCACAGCTTTTGAATTTTTCAAAATGTAACCACAGTTGATAAATTTTATTATTTTTAGCTCAATACAACCATTTTTCAATTGGCACAAAAAATTTTCCGAAGTGCTTAGTTAAAATGTGAAACTAAGCCTGAATCAGAAAGCAACCTAAAATTCCATCCCATTTTTTGAAAGTTGGTCTAAAATTCCACTAAAATTCCATCCCATTTTTTGAAAGTTGGAACAAAGAAAACTATCTTTGTTGAAAAAACACGTTGTTAAAGTTTGTTAAACGTTTGCGCAAATAATCAAAATAGTTTGTATGATATTCAAAAACAGAAAAGTAGATTGAATAAAAAATGCAGAATTAATTTTTCCGTCAAATTGATGAGCAGATTCGCTGACCTTGAGCGAAAAAGAAAAAATTAACAAAACGAAAAAGGAGCATCGGCTTTTTTGATGAATCGAGAAATTTGCAGTGCCCGTTCTCAGCTTTTAGCCAGCAAATTGCTAAAAATGTGAAGCAAATAACAAATACAGTGACCTTTTTGACAAAATTCGGAAAAAACAAGGATTGATAACCGGTTAGAGATTTCCAAAGAAAATTCATTTTTCAATTTAGTGTCGTTTTTTGTCCGGTTTTTTTTGTGAGCGACGGACGCGATCTTAGGAATGCGTAGAAAGTTAGTGAAATAAGCATCGAAAAGATTTTCCAGTTTTTTTTTCAGAATAATTGTTTGATTTCTCAAAAAAAATTTCATTGCTGAAGAAGAACTAAATGGTGCTTCCAAAACTACATCAACAAACCTGTACTATTTACTTGAAAAAAAAATCGAACAAATTAGTCATAATTAGCCGGCTAATTTTTCTGCCAAAATGACAAAAATCATATATTATGTACATTATTAATGTGTTAATGTGTTGCAACATTTTTTTGATTTTTATGTATTTTTTGATTTTTATGTAAGAAATTGGATGCCCAACTCTGCGCTAACTTGCTCACCTCAAAGCACTAATCGTGCAAATCATAATTAAAATGAAATATCGTGCTGATCAAAGCAAATTGAAAATGGTCAATTGATTCCACTTAGCTTAACCTCTTCGCGTACATTCAATATAATTAAACAAAAACTAAAAAAATTCGGAGAACTTAAAAGACTTCTATTTTTTTTGCAATTTTGTGTCTGTATGTTATCAAAATAGTCAAAATTCAGCCGGTGAACTTGATGAGCGTTAACTGTGTTCTACTTTTAGTGAAACTGGAGGACTATGAGGCTGCTTCGACCACATTTGAAGAGGCACTGGAGCTGGCTAAAAATCAGCAGAACAAAGAGGCCCTAGACAGCATTGAAAAGGTTCGAGGAGGCTCATCAGTTTGTTCATGACAACACTCACTCTACTTTTAGCTCGTCTGAACACACAATATACCTGCAACCCGTTACTTAAGAGGAATATAGATAAATTTTAGTTGTTCTTTTTTCGATTTTTAGGCTCTGCGAGACGTCAACCAAAAACTCTCCCAAAATGTCAGTCAACAGGTGGACGAAGATAATAACTACTCGGTAGCCAATCAGAATCAAGAACAGATTCGCGAACAGAGAACTCAGACTCCTCCCAAAGTGGAGAAACCGAAAGAAGAGCCGAAGGCGAAAGCAGAAGAGCCGAAAAAAGTGGAAGAGAAAAAAGAAGACGAAGTTGTTGGAGACGGAAGAGGAGACGGAGATGAGATCCCGGAGGAGCAGGAACTGGAGGGAACTGAAGCTTATGGGGAGGAAGATTTTGAACAAGATGACGAAACAGCAACTACTTCTAGAGATAAATGAATCTATAGCTTCTTAAAAATTTTGATGACGTATTAAATCGTATACTGAAAAAGAGTCATGATTACAAAGTTTATCGATTGCTGCAACACAAAGTAGTGCTGTGATCGTCAATTTTGGAATCGATGACTCAGTTTTATGTATTTTCATTGATTCTGTCCCATCGCATAGCTTCATTTTTTGACGCAACCGTGATACAGGTTATGCGGTTATGCAACATAACAGGCCGAAGGTGCGAAGCATGACAAAAATAGTAATAATTATTCCTATACACTTTTAATCAGCCATATCATATCAAACTAGTTGACTTAAATTTCGTAGATTGGCTTTCGTAAATTTTTGGCGCTTTAAAAATAAAACAAAAACGAGTTCATGGAAGTGATTTTGAAATATTGATTTTGGTGGCTTGTTAGGTTAAATACTGTACAGTTTTTTGTGAAACAAACTCATGGCGAATCAAAGAAATTACGCATTTTTCTACTCTGCAGTTGAAAAAGACGTCCTTCTGTGATAATATTTTAAGCCACAAAACAATTTAACGAAAAGTTTTTGGCATGATTGTACTATTGGCCACCCGGGTCGAGATCCCGCTCAAAAACCGCTCAAGATTTGAGCGGTTTGGGCGTTTTTTTTGAAAAAACCGCTCAAACCGCTCAAATCTTGCTTAAAAAAACCGCTCATTTCTTGCAGTGATTTTTGAACGGTTTTCCAAGCAAGATTTGAGCGGTTTTTAAGCGGTTTTTGAGCGGTCTTATAAATTGCACCGTCGACTTCAACATTCTGCTCCTTCTTAAGAACTCAATCTGCAAAGGAAACTAGCTGACATGAGCCCTAATATATTCAGATAGCTTGAGCTTCTTGTTCATGTAAGTATCACTCTTGTTGGGTCTTTTTACTTTTTGTTCCCAAAGTTTTCTTTTCATATTCTTCAATTGAAACCATTGTGCTTGAATTTGATTGGCTTAAGATAGCCAATCGCATTCAAGTTGCAGTTCATATTACTCAGTTTTTTAGGGGACAAATGCATCAGTTGAACCGAACAAAAACAGGTTTTTTGGAAAAACAGCTGAACTGGAAAACAATATTTGTAGAAAAGTTATCAGAAAAACAAAAAAAAAATCATTTAAAAATTTGAAAACATTTTCAAATTTTTTTTGAATCCCAAAATGAGAAAAAAAAATAAATCGAGTCAAACTAAAAATCGGCATAATTAAACAGAAGTAAACAGTTTAACTTGAGCATACAAAAGCTCGACCGCTCTCTTGATTCGGTCAAAATCAGACTGAAATTCAAAGTAATCAAACAGATTTTTCTCGAAACGGAGTAAATTGAAAAAAAAAACACTTAGAGGTCACAAACGTTTTAATTGTTGTTGTGAAAATCATCCCCCACACGCCATATAAAATACAAAGTGTCAGATTTTGCTCCTATTAACAAATCAATTATGGCAAATAAGCTTCTTTCAATCAATTTGGAACAATTTCTAAGACGGATTCAATCTCCGCTTCCTAGTCAGCGCGAAATATATCGCGCGTTATTTGTCTGAAATCGGCCGAAATGGCAAAACTTAAATCCTCATTACTCTACAAAAAATGATCAAAATTGAAATATTTTTTTAAAATTTAAGCTCGGGACAACAGCATCTTTTGAATTATATAAATATATATATATATATATATATATATATATATATATATATATATATAAAAAAAATCCGTCATAAAAGACTAAAAACCGAAAACTGAACTGCTTTTTCGTCCGATGCTTCCTGGAGACAAATGGCAATTATACTGCTATTAATAGGTACCATTTGCTGCTTGGCCTCTTTTTTCATTTGATGCATGATCATCTTAGCTTCAACTTTTCCCGGTCTAACATTGTGGCAATGTTCCTTTTTGGTGGATACCAGTTCATCTACAGCTGTTACAGCGAACATTCAGCACTAATGGGAACTGTATCTCGCGCATCTCTAGTGTTTAGTTGTTGTTTTTTGTTGTTTGCTTTTTTGTGAACTCGTGTCCGTAAATAATCAGCGTTCTCTTGTTTCATTTAGATATGCCCCACGTAGTCTGACTCATGATAGTTAAAATGTAATTTTGAGCAGAAAAGATATAAGCAATGGCGCAAAACAAAACAAAATAGTGTTTTGCTCTGTTTCAATAGCGTTTATTGTGGATTATTGCCACAATTTTGCGTTTAATTGACAAAAATTATGGCTCAGATTATTTTTGAGGTTCAATTTGAACAATTTTGAGTCAGTTTCCCTTCTTGTCTCAAAACGATTTCAGTTTGCCATTAGAACTTGCTGGTCCTATACATTAATCTATTTGAACATCACTTGATTAACTAGATGTGTTAATTTTGGGACAAAACGGCATAGGACAAGATGTCATATGGGGCAAGTTGGCATAGGTCCAGTTTTCATGTTTGGCAATTTAGTAGAGGGCAAAAAGTCCTGACACTTAAGTTTAGAACCATCATCGTTTGATTAACAACTTCTTGGCAGCACATTAATTTCTTTTCCCGGTTCGAAGTTGAAGTTTTATGATCAGACGGTCGCGACCAATTTTTGGTATTTCCAGACTGCCGCGACCAAAAATGAACATTTGTAGACCACCACGCTCAAAATTCGCTAGTTCCAGACTTTGTGGACCAAAGCAATGTGTCCGCGACAAGCGCGAACGAAGGAATGCTAACCGCGACCGGCGCAACCGAAGGAAAGTTAGTCGCCGCTGTCAAAAAAATAGTCGCGGTGGTCGAAAAATTAATCGCAACTGTCGAAAAATTAGTCGCGGCGGTCGAAAATTTTTTCGCGGCGGTCAAAAAATTAGTCGCGCCATGGTCAAAAAATTAGTCGCGGTGGTCAAAAAATTGAGCAGGGCTATGTGTCCACCGATTTGGCTCAAATAAGCTATGTTTAGGCCGAAACGATCATGAATGGATTTTGTTTGCCGTCTTTACCAAAAATGGCTACGTTTCGCTGGACTCGACCAGACCAGAAATGGCTATAATTCGACTGGATCAAACAAAAATGAGTTTGTTTTGGTCAAATCGACCAAAAAGACTATGTTTCGACCAGTTCGACCAAAAATGGCCAAGTTTTGGATGAAACGACCAAAAATGACATGATTTTGTCGAATCGAGCGCTAATGGCTATAAGTTAACCTTTTGTTAACGAAAAAAACTGTACGCTTGACACCTAATTGTCAGCCGATATGTATACATGAATTTGAAAAGAATGTGTACATGTACAACTCGCAGTAATCTGCTTCATCTCTTCAATATTGTATCCCACGGTCTGATAATAAAAGGATGCAACTACAGAATAAAATTAACGAAAAGCAATGAAAAATGTTACTATCGAAATAAACTGAAGAAGAAACTTAATTTCGGCCCACCAAATTTCGGCTAAACGAAACCAAAAATGTGATTTTTTTTTTGGAAGTTTCTCGTTTTGTTTTGCATAAAAAACTTGTTATTGATTGGTTGAAAATAATATAACTATTCCAGTAGCCAAGTGAAGTTTATATCCTTTCAACTGGATTAGGTGGTAAGGGTACATTGTCAAAACATAACTCGAGGAAGATAAAAAAACCTCGAGCACGGTCGTATATTGAAGTGAGCAGACAACAGATGCTAAGCACAAAATAATCCAGTACATATGCATTTTTAAATTAATGCGTAATTATCTAGATAAAACACTTCCTAATCTCATCAGCGCTCAGGTTCGACTCAGTTTTTTTTTGCGTTCTGGCGCATAGCGAACAAAACTTTGATAGCAAAAAACGTTTTGGATAGTATATAATTTGACAGGGAGTACACATTATGATGTCAAAGGAAAATGGAAAAGTTATTTTCCACGATGAGCTTCTTTACTGTCGTTGGCATTGGAGTAGATACTATTTGAAGCAGAACATAACATCTGGCTGTTGTCGGACTGAATCACTTCGCGACCGGTGCCTGCGGTATCGAACACAACGATTGAAAAAATTGAGTCTTGGTTGCAATTACTGTACATTGGGTCAATTGACAAAAATTCTGTTTTTTTTATACTAGAAAAACATAAAGATTAGATATTTCCCCCCCCCCCATATTTTCTAATTTCTGGCTAGTTGCTCGAGAACAATGTTTATAAAGTTATCTGAAAAATTTTTATGCCTCTCACATCAAATTTACAAAAAAAATGTTTTCGGCATTATTTTAGCAAATTTATGAGCTCAACAAATCTATCTAGAATGGCTATGATACTAAACGCATATATTATAGCCTTTTCTGTTTAAATTTGAAGTGTTGGGAAAAATTTCAAGGAAAATAAAAAAATACACAACTTTTTATTAACTTTCTTTCAATTGACGCCAGGAAAAGAGTTGCTTTTTTAAAGCTAAGAGAACTTTGAATAGAAAAGCAAACGAATGCAAACGAACCGACGCGCATAAATTGAACCGAGGCTTTCTTCACCTCTTCAGGGATTCCATCCCCTGGTAACCAACGGGTTCATCCTTTGGTACTAATTTAAGACCTCCTTTATTGGCATCAATTTCATTGACCTACAGAAAGGTAGACGTATTTTTTGAAAAACGATACGACCTTCCGCCTCGCTCCAACCCAATGGAAAACTTGACCCTTGATGAGATGATATACACGATATACAAATAAAAGTAATAGTCAAAAAGTGGTTCTGGAGGAGAGGCGTTGGTTTTAGCTATTTGAGTTGGGAGAAAAAAAAAACAAAATAAAATTAGGACCTGCATTTTGAACCGGTAAAATACCCAAAAAAAATATTTATAAGAGCTGTAAATGTAATTCATACTTGTGCAGGCGCGGATCTGGGAATTTCTCGAGGGGGAGGGGGGTAGTTTTGAAAACTTTGTCGACCTTTTTTTTAGATCGACCAAATTGATTTTCTGAGCTCTGCCAAACCACTGTAAGGACCCTAATTTGGCGTTCGCTTTTCCTTAAATCCGCTATTTTACCTGTGCATTAGAAATACAAAAATAACCAAAATAATGCAAAAAATAATGCCCCATGCAAGGGCGTATCTAGGATTTTCTCGAGGGAGCGCCTTTTTTAGGTC